TGTAATATAGCCAGATCTTGGAAACAACCTAAATGCCCATCAACTGAGGAATAGATAAAAAAAATGTTGTAGTATTTTTATACAATGGATTATTGCTCATCTATAAACAATGACCATATTGAGATATTTATAAGTAAATTTATAAGTAAATGGATGCAATTCAAGCCCATATTTATCAGTGAAATAAATCAAACTCACACGTGTAAGTACCATATAGTCTCCCTAGTATAAGAAATGGTAAGACTATGCAAGATACAAAAAACTAAATACAGTGAAAAGATAAGAATCTTCTCAAAGGGGAAAAATAATATCTCAGGGAAGACGAGGCAAAAGTAAAAGAAATGGAAAACAAAAATTACCTAAATTATATAAACACACTTAGGATAGCTAAGATGATTGTGCTACAAATGCTGTAAGTTCTTGGAATAAAAGAGTTAACATTCATAGGATTGGAAGAATTGTGCATATTATTATATGGTGATCTGAGGAACTCTTGAAGATCATCATGTAAAATAACAACCCCAGTTATGTTCCTATCACCTTGTTTTGAAAGCCTATATTGTCAGTGTTTTGGGCTCTTTGCTATTGGTATTTATTTTTTGTTTCATGTTTTTCTAGGAATTTGTTTTGTTTTGTTTTATTTTTCCCTCTAATACAGAAAGGACAGGTATACATGTAGAGACGAATACATGCGTAGAACTTCTCCTAAACAGTTTATGAGAATCGACTATATAATGCATGATAAAATGAACAGCTACTTTGAAGAAAAAGAGACACTATGTACCCAGTACTGATTCAGTACTGTCATGCTGTGAAATCCAGCAATACTATTATTCTTTGTTCAGAATGATTTTTAGTCTGTTTTGTATTATATAACCTCAACATATATGAAGGTATGGATAGCTATTTTGAAGAGTACAAGAGACATGGCAGCCATTGTTGATTTCCCTATTGTCTAGTTTTGAAGGTCTAAAATGCCTTCATCATCCTCTTCTGATCAGTTTTATACTATTTTGTTTTGTATGAATTCAGTGTGTGTGAAGATATGGACAAGTATTTTGAAGAAAACGAGACAATATGATAGATAGTGATGATCTCCCGTTTCTTGCTTTGAAATCTGTATCTCTTACATTGTTTTCTTTCGATCCGCTTTGTTCTGTTTTATTATGTGTAATTTTACTCTTTAAAATAAATTTTTTAAAAATTAAAAAAAATCATTAATAACTGGTCTGAATTTCCTTAAAAAAAAGAAAACTGCCACGCCAACTGGAAGGCAACCTGTTGATAAATGATAAAATAAAACAAGTTATACCACAACTGAACCCACAGAACAACGGGAGGGAAGAAAGCAAAGGAGCAGAACTAACGTGACTCCTGCTAGAAACCCAATTCTAAATACAGAACAAACAACAGAGTTGAACTTTACCACACACGTCCCTTTACTCCTGAAAAGTTGACTTGATCCCAATCCTGACTTAGTCCTGTGATTTCTCTTTTGTATACTATTTTGAATGAACATTCATAGGTTGGGCTGTTAGCAAGCTATAAAAGAATAATTTTGGACTGAAAATGTGTGGTGTTAAAAAAAAAAAGGACTGTTAAATTACTTTTCCAAGTCTTAGGAAAGTCATTTCCCACAATTATTCTAAATTCAAATTGGTCACTTGTGACAAATAAGCAATATTTTTGTACAAGTTCTGTTCTTTCAAAAATGCTACTTAACATTTGAGATAGTGATTAGCTGAAATAGATTCTCTGACTCAAGGCAAAATTTACCTTCTGTTAGCCTGATGTTTGAGCAGTGGAGGAAGGAGACTTCATGTTCTGTAGTTGTCAGAGGAAGAAAAACAAATCACTTAAATCTATGACTAGTTACCAGCTAGAACCTGTTATACTAACCACAGTTTTTTATGAAGAATCAATTAAGTATACGGCATTTTAATTTAGTGTCTCTAATCCTCATGTTAACTGAGCAAGGCGGTATTACTATTACTTGGTTTTGAATAGAAATCAAGGCTTCAAGAAGTTATACATGCTCCAGATCGGATAGCTAGTGCTGGAATTAATGAATAAAATCAAGTCATTGGTTTTAAAACTCTCACTCAATCTATTACCAACTCGTAGTTTTCTACCTATGATTTATAACCCATTATAGTGAAATTACAACTTAACTCACAAGTAGATAAGAGAGAGCTTCTGGTCCACCTGGGAGGGGAAAGGTTAGGTCTTGCTGTTTTAATTCCTTCTTCATTTCCCTCCTCCCCACAGCAGCCCCACGCCTTTTCTCAGAAAGTTGTGGTTCTGCGGAAACCCTGTACTATCCCACAAAAGCTTTCCAGCACAGACTTGAGTGTCCTCATTCATATCAGGAGTCACAAACACAGATGCTTAAGTGCTGCTCATACAACCAGGCTCTATCACTGAAGCAAGAAGTTTCCTTCCTTCACCTCACCATGAACTATCAAGGGACAGGTCTCTATGGCCTGAGGTGGCTGTTTTCTCACCAAAGTAAATTTCCAAATTCAAAGCCTAAACTCAGAATGTTAAATAGGACTAATGAAAGATCATATGAACCCATGATAGTCAAGAAAATGAAAATTGAATGACTTCATTTCACAGACCAGTGTGGTCTAGCAGGTCCAGAAAGTTGATGATATTTGCATTTGTTTGTATTTTATACCCATACATAGTCTACAGGCAATATGTACTTACAAGTATGGCCTGCAAGTTCATATGAATATGAAAATTAACATTAAACTTGCCTGAATATATTAAATGTGAAATTAAAAAAAATTATCTATGATAAGGAATTCCCCACCCCCACCCCAGCAGTGCTGGTTAAAGCAGAAGGACCGTATTTTAAATTCTTCTCTCATTAAAAGAAAAAGGAGTTTGCTTCTTCACAGTTCCTGTGTATTTGTATCAGAGTTTCCCTGGCATTTCATCGCCATGTTTATGAATCGTAATGCAGTTCCGCTCAAGTTTCTGACACACTCATTAATTTGTTCCCAGCGGCAGTTCATTAGCAACATCACAAGCAAAACATGCTCTCTCCCTGGGCACTGAGGATCCACCGGAAATTAAGCAGACTAGGCTACAAAGCACCTCAGAGCAGTCAGCCGGCTTCAGCTCCTACAGCAAGCTGGAGGCAAGCAGAAGAAGGCGGCAGGAATGAAAGCACCTCGTGAGCATGCAGCTGACACAGGCAACTACTCCTTGAAAAGGATGGGCTCTGGCTGTCTGAGTGATAGGTCATCTCTGAACTGTGGGCTCTGAAGATATGGAAAAGCAACTTCAGAGTTTGCAGTACAGGGAAGGCTTAGCATTTCTTCTTGCCTTCTATTGTGGTTCTGTTCCTTGCCTGCACTGACCTTCCTTGGTGAGTGATGAGTTTTGAGCTATAAGTGGGAGATCTTTGCCAAAATCTCCTTGGAGGGGATATTCAAGAAGCCAGAAGAATGCACAACAGCAAGGAGAGTCTTGTTGAATTAAGCTTTACAGAAAGCTGTATTTTTTTTTATTTAAAGAGAAAAAAGAAAGGAAATAAAAAAACAAAGCAGTAACAGGGAACATATAATACAGAATTTCAAGGAAAAAATATACAGTAAGAAATCACTAGTTAATAGGTTACACATTGTCATCTTCGAAACAGTTGTCCAAATTATAAAATTAAAACATATAAAGTGGACATTCATACAGAGAGATTGCAGACAGTTCCGTTCAATGATCCAACAAAAGCTCAGTAATATGGTTGTCCATCCTATACACTCAAACATACATGCAGTTATATTCCTTAGACCACCTTCCTTTCCTGTTGTTATAGAGCCTTAACCCAGACTAGAAGAGTCATCCTTGTCTCCTTTCTCTTTCTGCATTTGATGTATTAGCAAGCTTGACCACTTCCATCTTCAGAATGTCCCCAGTCTGACCTGCTGCCTCTAGAGCTTCCATCCCAATTCTGGTCCTTCCATAAACCTCTCAAAAGGGCCTCTTCATGGCTTCCTGCTTTCACTTTGCTTTCCACTTCCAACTCTGTTCTTCATGACAGCCAGAAGGATCCTTGATAGAGGTTAAATAACACCAGGCTGACATCAGCCTCCTGCTCACAAACCTTACATGGCTTTAAGTAGAGGAAAATCCAAGATCCTCACAGCTACTAATGAGACTTCAGTGATCTCTGAATCTATCTATGCACCATCACTCAGGCTTCTCTAGGTGGCCCAGCCACCTCATGCTACCTGGAAATTATGAGGGCCTGAAACACTTTCACCATATCACTGCCTGAAACACGATCTCAAATTCTCTATAGTTCCCACCCTCTCTTCACTAGGGTCTAATTGAAAAGCTACTGTGCATTTAGCCACCCAAACTTTCCACCCGCTTTAAAATAATCTTTGTGTATGCACACTCCCAGGGACATATGCTCTGTTTCCCGCCATAGTTACTTTTCTTGGCAGACTCATCATCCTCTTCCAAAGATCCAGCTGCTAATTTTTTTTTAAAGAGAAAAAAGAGGGAAAAAAAGCAAAGCAGTAAAAGGGTACAAGTAGTACAGAATTTCAAGAAAAAAATATACAGTAAGAAATCACTAGTTAATAGATTGCATATTGTCATCTTAGAAACAGTTGTCCATGGGGCTGGAGATTTAGCTCAGCGGCATAAGCACCTGCCTTGCAAGCAGGCAGTCGTGAGTTCGATCCCCGGTACTGATAAAAAGGAAAAAGACAAAAAAAAAAAAAAAGAAAGAAACAGTTGTCCAAATTACAAAATTAAAGCATACAAAGTAGATATTCATACAGTGAGAGTGCAGACATTTCTGTTCAATGATCCAACAAAAACTCAGTAATATGGTTTTCTATCCTACACACTTAAATATACCTGTAGTTATATCCTTTAGACGACTTTCTTTTCTTCTCTTTTTTATAATAACAACTACACTTTTTGGGTTTTAGTACTCCCACAGTTCTACTAATTTTTCTATCGTCTATTTTGCTATGCTGAACCTCATTAGAATATAAACATGCTAAGAAGATAGATTTGAAATAGTATTTGATTCACCATTCAGGTATTCAGAATAGTGTATGGCTCCTATCATGTGTGTAATAATTACTTGTGGAAATGACAGCATAAAGAATTAGCTCAGATACTGTAAGGACTGTTCTGCAGTCATCAAAGAGGATCATGATGAAGCTAGTAGAAAGATAATCGAATGCCTGTCATAATTCAGCACGTTGTCATGACTTCACTAGCAGGTCCCAGCAGGCAGCTTTTAACTACCTTCCATGACAGCCACCCAAGGCTGTGTGGCTAAATCCTCTGTGATCGCTAAGGAAGCACCCTGACCCTCAGGAGAGGAAGACCCACCACTTAAAATTCATTATGCAGTTAAGAGGCAAAATGAATAATTTATATGCTAACCATGTTCTTCTCCACAGTAGTGCCAATATGCTTTCCATATTCCATCTCTCCTGTTTCCTCAAGTGTGTCTGGGATGGTAATTTCATGCCACACAGAATATGAATCTAACAGGTGAATTTCCACCCAGGCTACAGTTCGCTTCCTATTGAGATGGAGGAAAACATAAGCAAAACTACAGTAAAACTTCCTTTTTGAGGCTGCGGAACACCAACAGAAATGCAAGAGAGTCAGGGAAAATTTATTTAGACGATGACAAAATAAATGAACATGTATAACTCATTTTCTTAAAAGTTGACTAATGTTCAATACTGTATATGAACTGTAATGTATTCAGTCCTTACCTTGTTGATACATTTCCCAGCTTAATTTCCATTTTCTTCCTTTGCAAGGTTCCAATAAACACTACCCTTATGCTTTTATTTCTGCAGGTGAAATTCCCTGAGGTAGGATTATAGCACAAAGATGTCAACATTTTTAATTTTAAACAATATTTCTAGGTAACTTTCCAAATATGTTACCAATTTACTCTCCAACTAGAAATATCTGAAAATGGCCCCTCCCTGTGCTACTCTACATAAAATTACAATTTCAATCACATTGGGTTGCCAATTTGATAACATAAAAATGATAATTCATTTTGTAATGTAATTTTTATGCATTCACACACACGGGGCTACAGGACCAATAGCCTTCTGCTTGTTATAACTATTGTAGTTATGTTAACAATCTGTGTGAATTAAATTTTCACTATGCTAATGGTACATTCACTATATTACCTTTTGTTGTTTATATAATCAAACATCTCTGTTGTATGACGGCTCCTAAGATTCCTGTCTTGCTTAAGAATGTTCTATGATCTCAACGTTATAAAAATCACCCCTTTAATTTGTTCCCAGACTTTTGTTTAGTTCCTTAATCCATATAGAACATATATTTGGTTATAAGAGTGTATGAGGGGCTCCAGATTTTCTTACATATAGATCACAATTATTTCAGCATAATGTAGTCCATCAAATATTTCAAATTACAGTGTAATATATGTAAAATCTATACATCTATCTATGTGTGTGTGTGTGTGTGTATACACACACACACACACACACACACACACACACACACACATTTAATTTCTATTTTCTTGCTTGCTCTGACAAAAAGATTCCCTGGGAGCCACATGGGTCACCTGAAATAAAATGCAATTTGCTGACAGCAGCAAAACAGATAGTCCACATACTTACTTAAAATTCCATCAAGAATGAAAGTTCTTGGATTTGATAGTAATCCAGGCTTCTTGATCAGATATATGTTGGCTCTTTACTATGCACAGGAAGGCTCTCAAAATACTTTTGATAGATTTCTTCTTTTACTCCTTATATTAACCCAGAAGGACAAGTATTTTTGTCTCCATTTCCTGTATGACAAGCTGAAAATTACAGTTTAGTTTGCCGTGTTTACAAAGATTGTAAATGTTGGGGCTGAGATTTCTAGCTTCCCCAGACTCACTATTCTCAACAGCTACATTCTACATAGGAGCCCCTCTCATTTTGTACCTAAATACTTCTACTTATCACAACCCCAAAGGTTCATGGTGAATATTTGTTCAACTAGATTGAACTAGAAAAAAAAGAGAAGACTTTCTCATACTACAAAGTTTTATAACATTAGGAAATAATGACTTGAAATGAGTTTGCTTCTTAGAAACTCAGAGTAATTTCAAAACAGGGCAATTTCAGTAGCTACAAAAGAACAGCTCTAATGAGTCTGCTCAAGAATCTTCTCACCAGGAAATGATTGAAGACAAGGAGATAACCTCTCATTAATTCCTTATTAACTATTTTAATCAAGATTACATCACTGTCTCACTATGAGCGTGGACAATTGCCAGCAGGCTTCAGTGCTGGGATTTATTGAGCTGAGAGGGTGGCAAGGTCTGACAGCCAGTGGGTCGCTCTTTGCCCCCGGGAGTCACATTTGGCGAGGACACGACTCCCTCATTTCTCAAAGTGGCGGTCTTTGCTTCTGGTTTATTGCCACACATCACTCAAAAGCCCAGCGCAAATGGTTTCTTTCAGTGAGTTTGCAAGTGCTTTCCACTGCAGCGGGAAGCAGTAAAGCCCTTTGCGTTGAGGGCAGACTGTGAACAGATCCAAGCAGTGAGCCAGTCACCTCCCACAATGGGAAGGAGCTTCACAGAATGTGACATGTGGACTCTCTACACTAGCGGGGTCCGGAAGGATTCTTCCTTTCAGGTGCTTCTGGGAGAACAACAGGCCCACCCCTGAGCTTCGGGAAACTGGTTGTGAGTCTTTGGGGCATCCATCCTGCCCAGGTGAAAATCATCTCACCCGGATGCTTGAGGGTCTTCTGTGTGAACACTCCTTCCCTTCTGCTTGATAATGGCTCTATCCCCAACATTTAGTTTATGCAATGTACACAGGAACAAGTACCCCACTTCAGGTTAGGCCTGAGTGGCCAGTGGCCATAAGACTGGTTCAAGGGTTAACTCATGTGACTCAATCAGAGCTAAAGAGACCTGCGAGACTTAGAAGATGGCAGAAGGAATGGATCACACTGGCAGGGGTCACAAATCACATCCTGGGGAGCAGCTGCCTGGCTTCCAGTCACGGCACATCTGCCTACTAGTTATGTGGCTATGGAGCATGATTTCACCTTCTTTATCTCAGATCCATTATTCCCAGCATAGGAGTAATCCAGGTACACTTTTCACAAGGAGGATATAAAGATGAAGCAAGTACACATGAATCAGTTATATGTTAAGCAGTAAATTAAAAGTTAATTCAAACACTAGTTATTATTCTCTCATCCTTGAGATGTCTAGAAAAGAACGATCTCATCTTTTTCCATGAGATTTTACGTCCAGAAAAATATAAAATCCGGAATTGCCATAGTCATCTTGGGCCTCTGAGGGTAGCAAGGGTCTGAAAATAAAACAAAAGTGGAAGACAGAGAAACAGAGAAACAGGAAATTAAAAACTGATCCTGGTGATGTTAGCTAAAGAGCACAGCAAGCCTCCCCTAAGGAAAGCTCTTTCCATGTATATATGGAATATATATATATATATATATATATATATATATATATATAATTTTAGAACAATTTTAGGTTCACATCAAAATTGAGCAAAAGCTTTAGAAACATATTATAAACACCTCCACCTCCTGACACATGTTCAGTCTTTGTATTATCAAAATCCCTCACTCAGCAGGATTCTACACTTGCTACAACTAATAAACTTACATTGACTCACAATATCACTAAAAGTCTATATGAAGTTTACTTTCAAATTCATTCTTGATTAATGAATTGTATTGGTATGCAAAAATTATAATGTTATGTATCCATCATTGCAGTGCCACAGCTGTCACCTGACCGTTCAACTCTCCTTCCCCCCAAATCTCCAATAAGTTCTCATCATTCTTTTGCTGCCTTCATAGCTTTGCTTTTCCAGAATATTATAAAGTTGAAATTGTACAGAATTTGGCCTGCTCAAATTCACCTGTTTTGCTTATTGATTTGCATTAAAGTTCCTTCCATGTTTTCTCATAGCTTGTAGCGCATTTCTATTTTGCTCTGAATAGCATTGCGTCCTCCAAATATACAGTTTATCCATTTACCCACTGAAGGACAATTTAACTGTTTCCAAGTTTAGACAAATGTCAGTAAAACTGATAAATGTGGATTTTTGTGTGGGCATATGTTTTCAACTCATTTAGACAATTACCAAGAGGCACAGTTGCTGGGTTGTATGGTAAGAGCAAGTGTAATTTAGTTTAAAAAAAAAAAACTGTCAAACTGTCTCACCAAATGGCTGCACCAGTTTTGGATTGCTGCTAGCAATGACTGAGCACTTCTATTCCTCTACATCTTCACAAGTACTTTTGGGGGTCAGTATTCTCGATTTTGGCAATTGTAGTGGGATCTGATTGTTCTTATTTGTGTTTTTTTCTGATGTCATATGACGTGGAACATCTTTTCTTAATTCTTATTTTCCATCTACACATTTTCTTTGTTGGGTATGCTTTCTTTTTTTAAGTCAATTTGGTTTAGATTTTCTGCAGTTTCCTCTCTAATAATCAGTCTTCACTGCTTCTGAGCTATAAAGATTTCCAACCCAGTTATGTGGTTTGCACATTGCATTACACCAAAGTCCAGCAAGAAAATGCCAGATCTTCTCTTCCATGTTCATATCCCTTAATTGTAAGCAACTCGAACTAATACCAGTGAAATGCATGCTTTTGAATCCAGCACAGTGTTGTTCATGAGTCTGTTTCCTGAGTTCAGAAGAATATCTGGCAGCATCTCAAGCTTCCCTGTGTACTACAAACATACACCAATAAAAATAAAAATTAAATACAAACCACCGAAAGGCATGGATTTGTAGGTAAGAAGACTATATACACTGATGAGCTAGAAAAAGAGCAAAGTACAAGGAACTGCAAATCTCTGGGTCACTAATAGGCCATACAAACATGCAACAGATACACAAATATTCATTTGTCCTCAGAGAATAGGGAGCAAAACAAGCAGCCAGGCCACTATAAGCCAATCCAGGGCTTGTAGCACTAGAAGGACAGTTGTAGGTCAATTAGTATTACTTATTCTAAAGTGTAGAGCTGTGATGAAATTCCTCTTAGCCTGAAGAAATCAGTCACACCCCTCTATCTTTATGAACCACAAATAGTTCCATGTGCAGCACTTGAACTCATTTTAAATGTCTTATTATTTTTTGATTCTTTGCTTTTGTTATTGCTTTGACCAAAATATAAATATCAATATGCCTGCATGTACATACACACACACACACACACACACACACACACACACACACACACTCCCCGTACACCATTCTTCTTTGGCTTCTAAACTTTCAAATCTTTTATGATACAATTGCTCCTCCTTATTCATATAGTAGCCTGATGGTACTTTTTTAAGACTTCCTCTAACCACTCCTCTTCCCCAAAAGAACGCTGATCTGCAGCATTTTCTCTTTTCCATGGTATGAATACATCCACCATGGCCAGTTTCAACTCATCATTGTAATTGAACTTAGAGTTTGTAAGAGGTGGACTGTGGAACACCACGATACAGAGTTTTGATCCTGCACTGCAATAGATACAAACTATCTCAAGAGTATGCAAAAAAAGTGAAATGAAATAAAATAATCAGCAAGTGATGATGATTGAGCATTACCTTTGTTTTTGATATAATGCATTCAAACATAAATTTAGATAATTTAGTGTTTCAACGTCTACATGTTAAGCCAGCTTTCAAAATTCTTGGAAACTTAAAAATTGATTTTTGTAACTTACTCAAGTTAGTTATAACACACCACTGCCCTTTCTTTAATGATATTTATCTCCTAGGATAAGATACTAAAAATAAATATAGGCAAAGCATGAAAAAATAAATAAATAAAAGGTTATATAAAACATCTACTATCATGGCTAATGGTAATAAATTTTATGAAGAAAAGCAAAGCAGGATTAAGGACATATTGAACATCTTGAAAACCATATAATATTTTAGGCAGTGTAAACAAGAAAGTCTCTGGAGGAGTGGTTATTTTTCATACAAAGGAAGTGAGATAGCAAAAGATGAGAACGTCTAAAGTGTGTTCCAGCTGGAAATTACAGCCTCCACAAAGCCTTGAGGGAGGCGTAAGTCTTATGTACTGTATTCAGAACAGCAATGGAGTCAGTGTGGCTGCAGGGGACATGCACAAGCGAAACATGTCAGGAGAAAGGACTGACAAGATTGCCGAGGTCTAGGGCATTCACCGTCTTCCAAGTCATGGATTTGCTGTTAGATTAAATAAGCCAAATCATTTAAAGGTTTATTAGGAAGTGACACCATTTGTGTGAGTTCTGAAATATTACTTACTCCCTGTTGATATATGAAATATAGGCAGCAGAGTATGGTGTTACAAGACAAAAGGTACAGAGAATGATTAAAAAGGGGAAAGAAGGCAAGTAGAATGAATATTGCAGTATATAGTAGAAAGGGGCAAATAAAAAACAAGTGATCAAATAGGGTGAATTTTTCCAATGAAATAGTTAAATTTTAAAAGAAAAGGATATCAGAAATGCTCTATACAATATATAAGCAAATGAGCATGGTTGTGTTCTAATAAACTGCACTTATAAAAGTGGGCTGCAGGACAGATTATTTCACAAGTCTCAGTGTGTTCAACCTCTCCTCTAGAATAGAATAGCCCAAGAAAAATACAATGTGTGGGCCATAAATGTAATTTTAACATTTTAGTAACCCCATTAGAAAAGTAAGGAAAAAGCAAGCAAATTAATACTAACTATATTTAATCCAACGTTGCTGAAATATTAATCCAACATTATTATGATCATGGGCCTTGACAAGTTTTAATGTGCATTTAAGAGAGAAATGGGTCTGTAGCTATTTTATATCACATCTATTTTTCTTCATGTTTCATATAGGTAGAAAATTTAATTTCAGCACTCAGGTCTCATTAGGAAATCTTCAGTGATTTCATTC